TAAGAAAATAGAATGGAAAAAAGTCAAGAAATTATTTGACTAGCAAAATTTGGACACAAAGATTAAATTGGTTTTAATAAAAAGAGCACATAAAAAGTTATCGCAATTAAAGGAATTGTTGTTATGATGAAGTGTGGTAGTTCCAACAAAAGAAATTTTCAAACCTACACCATAACTAATACTAATTTCATCCGGACTATCATAGTACGTATAAGAGCTTAAATTATGTACATTTATAGTGACATGACATGAGGCTTCCGAGCCAAATAGCCATAGTTGGTAGGGGTGAGCAAACGGTTTGGTTAACCAAAAATCGAATACAATCAAACCGAAATACCTAATTTGATTCGGTTTTCATTTCAATTTATTAAAAAAAAACGAATCGAAATTTAATCACTTTTCGATTTTGGGTTCGGTTTTTAAAAATTTAATTCGGTTTTCACCGAAAATCGAATATCTAATCTAGTTATATTAATTAAAATAAGCTTAAAATTAAAATTTAAATAAAATTGGGCTTTTGGGTTTCATTTAGACATCAACCCATAAAAGGCCATGAACCTTAAAAGACAAGACCCACGGATCACAACCCACAAGCAAAAGAAGAGAAGTCATGCTTAATTTATAACCTATCCCCCACTCTCCAAAAGCTAACTAAGCGATGTGGGATAGAGAAAAGTTCGGAGGGTGAGTTCCCTATCCCACATCGAAAAAAACATGAATTTGAGACTTAGGAAGATCTATAAATAACCCATCTCACTTATTAAAACTAGTATATTTGAAATCATCCCACATGGATAAAGAACTCATGTATGAGTTCGAAAATATCTATAAATATTATAGGTTGTGGGATGGTGAACTTGAGCTCTCCATTTCATTTTCCGACTTTGTTTTTGGATAAATGTAGGAGTATTGATAATTTCGGTTAATAACGAAAATTAAAAATAAAAACCAAAATAATTTGAAATCGAAATTTATCTACCGAAGTGTTATTTGGTTCGGTTCGATTGTAATTTTTTTGTGTTTGGTTAACTAAAAACCAAGCCAAAATAGTTAAAAACCGAACCGAAAAACCGTTTGCTCACCCCTAATGATTGGGGAGAAGGATTGCCAATAGAGGCTAGATTGGCCATAGGTGCAAAGAATGGGCTTTGATTGGAGGAACCTGGATGAATATCATTGGCTTTGAGGAAACAAACTAGCTTGTGGCATACACTTATCGAATGACTAGGTATCTCACAAAAGTTGCTAAAGGATGCATAAGGAATAGGTGGTCAATTATTGTTTGATAAGAAGATTATCGGGTAGAATGATTTTTTAAAGGGATTTGACTTCGACTATGGTTGGTCTAAAAAGACCTAATTGAGCCTTGGTTAGAACGATTATGCCGGGAGTTATGGTGAGTGGGCTAATGGGTTACATGGTTAGCAATGGTAAGTGTGAGAGAGGGGTTGGTTTCGAGTTGCTAAAGTTAGCGCTCAAAATCTTTCAATTTGTCAAAGAGCTTATCAAAGGTAAAGGATGTGTCATGGACATGTACAACAATAGCAACATGATTAAATTCGTCACAAACACCCTTTAAGACATGCATGATGAGGTCTTCTTCAACAATAAGAGTGTCAGCAACAGTGAAGAGCATTAGTATTAGCTCTAACATCTTGTAAGTATTCAACGATTAAGCAAGTACCACGTGGTTATCATGAAGTTTTTCCTTAAGGGGCATGATGCGAAGCGAGATTTATTAGCAAAAAGAATAAAGAAACAAGTCCATACTTTCTTAGAGAAAGAGACAATAGAGATATAGGATTGAATATTTAAGACACAAATTCCCAATATGGCATTTAGAATAAGTTGGTATTGTTTATACCGGATTCGAAATGCTAGCTTTGCAATAGTGTTGGTCTTGTCTTTAGGATACGAAATTTCTTTGTGAGAATATGAATTATTGCCATTAATATGGCCAAAGAGGTTGTATCAAATGAGGGTAACATGAAGTTGGGTTAGCTAGACTAAAAAATTAGATTTGGTGAGTTTGGTAGGAAGGTGTAAGAGTATCGAAGGACATGATTTGATTGTCAAGTTTGGAGGAGGCCATGGATCAATTTAGGAGAGCTTTTAATTAGTGTGGCTCTAATATCATAAAGACGCTGATATACTTTATGAATTGATAATTTCTATTATATATATTTATATTATATATAATGTATAGAGTTTATAAGGATAAGATATAACAACTACTATTTGAATTTAAATGCTAATGAATCACCTGTTTGAATTTGTAAATTATTTAGCATCGGATATATCCTTAATAGAGGTATATGTCCAAGTCCATGACAACTTAGACATTGGATGAGTCCATGAGAGGGATTTGTGAGAGTGGAACCGGTGGGGAGGGAAAAGAGGCCTTGTGTGTTGTGATGGTCTATGTCACTTGTAGAAGCATTAGTGAAATGGTCACGACCATTCAACCAAAATTTGCCATGAAAGGAATGGTAGGAAAAATAATGAGTCGTTGGAGGGATAGAATCAAAAGTGACTTCTTTTTTTACAAATTGAGATTCTTCTCTAGAGACCACACAAATCATCAAATGAAATGGGTTGAAGTTATGCTTCGATGCTACGGACAAATGGATGGTATGTCGATCCAAGACTTCTAAGAATATCCGAGAAAAATTCATCCTTAGAAACTAAATGATTGAGAGTTGATAGTTAATAAAAAATGGTCTTGGACCGAGTAATATAGATTGTGATGAAGTCATTCTTGCAATTAAGGTTATGTAGAGTAGTTTTGAGTTGACAAATTTGAGTACGGAGCTAGAAACATATGTTTTGGCAAGTTTCGACCAAACATCTTGAGTTGTCTTTTCACCTAAAATTTGAAAGAAAGTAGGTTCTATAAAGGAACAAACAATTCAAGTTATGATGAGTTGATCTTTTTGGAACTAAACAAGGTACTTGAGATTTGAAACATTATTAGGAAGTAGTGATTTTGGGGGATCAACAAAACCATCAATGTGATGAACTAACTTGTATCCACATAAGAGAAGATATAATTGAGTTTTCTTGAATAAGTAATTTGTACAAAAGAGTTTAATGGATAGCTGGTTTGAATTAAGAAAAATTAAATTTGTAGAATTAAAGTTGGAGGCTGCAAATGAAGAAGAAAGAGAAAGGGATGAGCCGGACATTCTCAACCTCGAATAGGAAAGGAGAAAATGTGAAGGGCTCGATACCATAAAAGGTTTATATTCTATTTAATTGTATACATATAGGAAATTTTGTACAATAGTTTAACTATATTTGAATTGTATAGATAGAGTCCTAAGAGTTACCATCATATGTGATTTAGGAATTCTAATTTCGAATGATTGTATCCTTATCATTGGGGCTGTCCATTTGGTTGTATTAACCCACATTTGCATAAATTTGGTTGTACATTTATTTTCCTATCCAAAAGCAGGAGCTGATAAAAATAATCTTTTCACAAAGATAGGAAAGACTAAATTTATTGGCCATGACTACCATTCTTAATACATTAATTCTAGTTGATAAATCTTGAATTAACCGACAGGATCTTGTACTTAAAAAGTGGCAAATCATTATTTCTTGTAAGAAGCTTAGAGCAGAGTTTGGAACAATTGCTTCCTGGCAGGCTATCTATTATATCATCAAGTAAACGACCCAAGGAAGAATATGAAGATCCACCGGTCATCAAGGTTTTCTCACTTATTCTACTCATCTCTTTCACCTTCGTTCTTATTTCCTTATATAACCCATTTTAATTTCTACAGAAAATCCAAACTCAATTATCATTTGATCGAAAGTATTGCGTATTTAAGAGTTCTTAAGGCACATTTTGGTGTTACACTCTCATTTTTAGTGTGGTTCGCATATCTTCTTCTTTTAACTTCTATTTTTTTCTAGATTTGCGTGTTATTTATCCACTTTTTTGTTTGATCTTGTTTCGCCTTGGATGCTTTTCCTAAGCTTCACCAGTCTTTCTTTTAATGTATTCTTTGAGCTATATATACAACGAAAAAAGAAATAGTTGTCTCAAAGAGGAAATGCAATTTTTCTTCAGTCTTGTTTATTTGCTTCTCTAAAGAGGTTATATTTGTATTGAAACGAAATGCTTTGCATTAATCACAAAAATAAATGATTATAATATAAATCACACAAATTTTTATGCTTTGTGGTAAGGATAAGCTACTACTTGGTTACTTTTTAATAAAAGAAAAATCATCATTTATCAAAAATATTTGAAACAAAAAAAATCTTAAGCTACCAACAAGTTGTTGGTCTAGTGATAAATAAGCTAGTTTTCAAGTGAATTTTCTATCATTATACAAGATTTGAATCCTAAAATCATATTTATTGGGATGGGTTTAATCTTATTGCTCCCATCTTACACAAGATTAGTTATACCTCCAACGTGAGATAGAGATATCTGAATAAAACTCAAAAAAGAGAAAAAAAAAAAAAAAAAGGTCTTAAGCTAAACTAGTGGACACTAAATTTTTTCCATTAGATAATTACTAAATAAATTAAAATTACCAAAACTTAATTTTTTTTATTGTTTTTTAACTAAATGAAGCTATTGGATACCTCTTTGTCTATATTTATTATTTTTAAATTATTACAATAAATTGTTATGAATTTCTTTTAATAAAGCTTAATTAACCAAGAAATTATATTCTACATCATGATGATATATGGATACATAGTGATGGAAATATACACATGCAATTTTTCCTAGAAAAGGAAAAGCATCATCTTAGCTTCGTAGAGAAGTTTTTGCTTGGATAGAAAGTGCAATTTTTCTTCCACCTTCTTTATTTGCCTCCAAAGAGGTTAAACATGAATGATAAAGAACAATCATTCCATAAATTATACAAAAACATTTGAGAAAAAAAAAATGTTTTCCGAATCCTAAATTGCTTTGAATGAAATAAAGCTAAAACAAGATTTAAAATGGTAGATTATGATAGGTTGAGGCAATTGCCTTAGGCTAGGTTCTTCATCATGTCTTCAATCAGAAGAGTCAATGCTGAGTATGAAGATCCACTCTCCATCAAAGCTTTCCTGCTTAGTTGACTCATCTCTTTTACTTTATTTCTTATCTCGCTATCTTGCTCCATTACAAACTTTACTTTTTCCTTTATATCGTCCGAGCTCACAATTACTTTACTATCATCCGTATAAAAAACATCATTTCTATAATCTATTTTAATCTCCACCGCTAATCCCAACTCAATTATCATTTCAAAAGCATTAAATTGTTGCTCTCCATATAGTGGCCATGTCGCAATTGGAACACCAAATAAAATACTTTCTAGTGTAGAATTCCATCCACAATGCGATACAAACCCTCCCACAGCTTTATGGGCTAAAATTTCTATTTGTGGAGCCCATCCAATCACCTTGCCAGTTTCAACCGTCCGGTCCAAAAACCCTTGGGGTAAAATTTCTTGGAAATTTAGGTAGTCACTTGGAGATTCAATCTTAGCCTTGGAAGAAGAAGGTTTCCGTAGACACCACAAGAATCGATGTCCACACTGCTCCAATGCACAGGCAATCTCTTTCACTTGATCGATGCTGAAACTTCCCCCAACTCCCAAAGCATAAAAACAATACTGATGATGGAGGCTGATCGTCGAGCCATTGCATGATGTCTCTGTAATTGTTGAATCGATCCGATCCAAAATCATAGTCATTTCCTTGGGATCTCACAATTGGTCCCACTGGATATACTGGAGGGATTTCACCATTTGAAAGAGAGTTAACCGCATGTAATTCCAACTCTTTAAATGTATTTACCACAATACCCCTCGTCTCCCTCAACCTTCTTGCAGCATCAAGGAAAGTAGGGAACATCTGTCTGTTAAACACGATAGAAGGCAGGAGCTTAGCAGGGAACCGGTTCACCAGACTTGGAATTTCCAACTCGACATCCGAGTTTTCGAACTCACAGAGATTCACTTTCTGCTCATCATGAAGGGCCTGGAGATGCAACATGGAGCCAATAAAAGCTGCACCTGATGCAGAGAAAACATACCAGGGAACACCAAATTCTTCAGCCAAATCCTCCATTCCCAAAACAAAAGTATCAAAAACAAACCCAGCAAGTCGAGGAGAGTCAGGGCTCAAATCTGACTGAGTCTTGATCTTGGAAACAAATTCTTTGACATGGGGTTTTTGGGCTTCAGCCAAAGAAGCCATCCAGTTACCTCCAGTATTAGATACTGCAGTCTGCTCGAAACTTGGCAAGTCAACGACTCGCATGAGATTGGGTAGAGTTGATGCACTGAGTGACTCAGTGTATTTGGTAGTACTGGGGTCAAAAGCTGGATGCATGATGAGGACACTTGTTGAAATTCGATCTCCACGTTCAACAATAAGCTTAGCCATCTCTACTGCAGCTATAACGTGGCCCATTGCCGGTAATGGGATGAACACTACCTCTGCTTTCTTCATCCTAAGTTTTTTTTTGTTTTTGTTTTTGTTTTTTTTACCAAGCTACTGTGTATGGCTTGTTTCAATTATTTCCGAATATATAACGGTAATCAATTCTGGAAGAAAATGAATTTCACGAATTGTCTATTTGTAACAATAGAAGACAAAATCTAGACTTTTACGTCATGGCTTTGCTGGCTGTGAATTTTCTTCGTATCGGACCAGATGAGATTAGGCCCCGTCAAACTTGCTTATCACGGAATGGACTGTTGTGGTGTATAGGGTCCAAATTGCTCAGATTCTCCAGAGGATAGGCGGCTAGAGGAGTGTTAACAATGTTCAATTTATTTGGGCTGGAAGAAGCTTCTTCTCATCTACAACAATGGTTGGAGGAAACTTCTTCCCATCTGCTTTCGTCATCCTAAGTTTTTTTTTTTTTTTGGCTAAGCTATTGTTTATGCTTTGTTTGAATGATTTCCGAATTTATAGCGGTAACCGATTCGCACAAGAAACCACCAATGACACATATTGTTATGAACTCCGTAAGTTATTCTCTCTCTCTCTCACCTTACCTCAATTTGAATATATATATTGCTTTGAAAAATATAATGAATTTGACTGTTTTCTATTTTAAAACAAATGCAGGCACCAGTAATCCATACGGAATGGTAACAGGTAAGCAGTTTTTACATATGGCTATTAACTACTGAAATTAGATAATTATAATCCTTATTATTTTGTTTCAGATCCATTTGTTTTTATTTGAAATATATATATATATATATATATATTTATAAATTTATCCTGTTTTTGTTAAGCAATGTTATAGCTAGAAATGATCACGTTCAAGGTGATGTATTTAGCGATGGTGTCGTAATTAAGCACAAATTTTTAAGGAGACGTAAAGGTGGTGTTGGTCTCCAAAAATTTGTTTTATGAAAATACCCCTTAATCGAGTGATTCGGGACTCGGATCAATCAAAAACCTCGTCCTCACTCTATAATGAATGGCTAGAAATGATGATGAAATAGATAAAATAAAAAAAATAGTAAAAGTTGACAACTTAGGTCAAAACAAGCAAAAAAATGACAACTTAAGCAAAAATAGACAAAAATCGGCAACTTAGGAAAAAACAAACAAAAATCGATAACTTAGGCAAAAATAGGCTAAAATAAGCAACTTAGGCAAAAACAAGCAAAAATCGACAACTTAAGCAAAAATGACAATGAAAGCAAAAATTGGCGGCTTAGGCTAAAATAGGCTAAAATTGGCAACGAAAAACGAAAGTGACGACTTTGGTTATAATAGGCTAAAATCGACAAAAAAAAAAAAAAAAAAAAAAAAATATTGGCGACTTAGGCTAAAATAGGCTAAAATCAACAACGAAAAACAAATATCGACGACTTAAGCTAAAATCGGCAACGAAAAAATAAAAATTGATGGCTTTAGCTAAAATAGGCTAAAATCGACGATGAAATAAAAAAAAATCAATGGCTTTGGCTAAAAAAGGCTAAAATCGACGATAAAATAAAAAATTGGCGAACTTTGGCTAAAATAGGCTAAAATCGATGACGAAATCAAAAGATCGACGCTTTGGCTAAGATAAGCTAAAATCGACGACGAAACCAAAAATCAACGACTTTGGCTAAAATAGGTTAAAATCGACAACTTTGGGTAAAATAGGCTAAAATTAGCAACGAAATGAAAAGATCGACGGCTTAGGCTAAAATAGGCTAAAATCGACAAACTCAAGCATATGTAGGCAAAACTTGACGAGAATTGGCAATTGGACAAAAAATGGAGAAAGCACAAAAATCGATGAAATTATTTACTTTGGCAAGCATAATCAATCATGTTTGACGAAAGCGAGTTAAATGGCAAAAGTTTAAACTTTCTTGACTCGGCGATTGTGTTTTTTTATAAAATCACCATACGAGACGCCTCTTTAAAATATACGTTCCGAATAACAAATACCCAAATGTTCGACGCATCATTCATCGTCATATCGCAAAATCAGCAATGCACATCATCTCAATTCAAACAAATTGCACATAAACAAATAAATCAAATTAATTACAACACATTCATTTAATTAATTACATGACACATATCAACACGAATCAAATTTAGTACCTATTATAATAAAAATAAAACAAAATAAAATAAAAAGTGAAAATGATTACTATAAAGAAAACAAGTTTGGATCGATTCGCTTAGCGGTCTTGAAGTCGAATCCGACTTTTTCAACCCCAATGGAGATCGATACTTGGTCAACCGGGAGGAAAGGTGGATAGAGCGATGGGCTGGCGACGGAGCGTGGGAAGGCCTGTTGTGTGTGGTGGCTGTTGGCGGAAGCACGGCGCCCCAGGAAGAGGGGTTGCTAGCGAGGTGTTCTTTGCGCTCTAGCTCGGAGTGTTGGGGGTTTTGGGGGCTACTTTGATGGTTTAAGGGCTATCCAAAGAGGTTGCTCTGTAAGGGTTTTTGGGGGTTGTTGGCAATGGTTGTAGGGTTGTAAAGGTTGCTTATTAGTGGTCTGTTTTGGGTCCGGTTTTTAGGCGGTTTTGGGACGTTTTTGGGGGTATTTTGAGGTTATCTCAAAGCTGTATTGGTGATGTTTTTAAGGTATTTTGGTGATTTAAATGGGTTATACGAAAGGGTTGCTCTGTAAGGACTTTTAGGGGTCATTGGTAATGGTTGTCCTCCCTTTTCCAAAAAAGATTTTTGTTCGCATGTTCAACCAAGCTTTTTGACCATTAGAATGATTCAATCTTGAACTAGTGTCTTCATAAGAATTATAGGGCTCGATGTTATCTTTCCAACATAACTGATCTTTCATCAATTGGACTCTTATACCCCAAGATATGGGCTACGAATCGAAAAGGCCACGTTGTTAAAAAAACCTACTTAAACATATTCTAAATTTCGAATTATAGCCACTGTTTCGACTTTCAAATATTTTGAATTAGGCTTTTGACTCTTCACGATAGTTTTAGCTTAGTCTATTAAATTTTCAAAGAGCCTATGATCACCCCAATTTGGATGTATGTAGCCTAAGTTATGGTCAAAATACGAAACGAGTGTGAGGGCTAGAATGGCTCGTGACATGTTGGCTTGGGCGAAAGGGCTATGGCATGTTGGCTTGGTGCGGGATGATGCTTGTGCGAGAAGTAGCATGAGGCTGGTGAGAGGGCGTGTGTGGGCGATAGTGTAAGGCTGGTGAGAGGGGTTAAGGGTGTTGGTGTGAGGGAGAGAGAGGCGGCTGCAAATGGATGAAGAGTTTATGACGTAGGAGAGGGCTGCTTGTGGCATGATAGATGGCCATTATGAGGGTTGTTTGTGACATGAGAGAGGAGCTAGAGCACACAAAAGAGCTAAAGGTATAGGTTGGAATGGCTTATCAAAGAAAGAGGGTTGTTACGGAAAGGTTTCGAATGAGAGGGAGAGTGGCAATCATGGTGTATGACGGCTGAATGTGTTTTAAGTGGGAGAGATGAACGATGAATTGGTTGAGAATGGGTGTGGGGCGGGGAAGAATAGGTGTTTATAGGGTGGTTATGGTGGTTTTTATCAAGGAAAGAAAGGGAGGAAAGGGGCTGCCATGGAGGAACTTTTTGGGTGAGGAAAAAAGGAGGGTAATGTTGGTTGGAAAGGTTTTTCTTATGAAGGTAATGGTGAATAGTGGCTGCCTCCTTTTTTGGGGAGAAAGGATTGTTTTTATACTAGGTTTTTTAGGGTTTTTTTGGCTAGAAGTCTTTTTGGTCTCCCATTTTATAAACCCACTTTATTTTGGTTCCTTTCTCCTTTCTTTTCCAATTGCACCCCACATTATTATTTTTACTTCCTTTTCTTTTCTTCTTTTCTTCTATTTCTTTTTCTTTTTTTTTTAACCAAAATTGGTTGCTAACAATCGGTTTGGATTGTGAACTGACGCCTCAAAAGGTACTCGTCACCACTTTCGAATGGCTTCGATGTTACCAAACATTTCTCTAGCATAAGTGGAAGAAGCTTGCATGTGAAGAGACATTTGTTTGTTGAAGTAAGCTATTGGATGCCCTTGTTGTGACAGAATCGCCCTTATCTCTATTCCTAATGCATATGTCCGAATGACCAAAAGCATGGTGAAATTGGATAGTGCTAATACGAGAGTGTGGACCATAGCTTCTTTTAACTTTTAGAAGGCCGTAGTGTCGGCGGGGAAACAAAAGCATTTTTTTACAATAAATCGATCAATAGAGAAGCTATGCTTGCATACTTATGCACAAAACGAGGACGGTATCCTATGAGGTGAAGGAATATACATAAAATTTTCAAAGAACTTAGTAAGGGCCATTGTTGAATGGTTACAATCTTGTCGGTATCCACAACGAACCCTCGGCTTGAAATTTTGTGCCTCAAATAACCAATTTCGGAGCAACCAAGCTCACATTTGGACATCTTCGCAAACAAGTGCTAAAATTATAAGAGAGTAAAGACTTATTACAAGTGTTTTAAATGGGAAGCCCAAGTTAAGCTTTAAATCAATATGTCATAAAAATAAAAAAACAAGAACAAACTTGCGTAAAATGTCCCTAAAAACTAAGTTCATAAGACCTTAGAAGATCGATGGAGCATTCAAAAGTCCGAAAGGCATTACTAAGAATTCATAATTCCCTTCATGTGTTCTAAAGGCGGACTTCTCAATGTCAATTGGATGAATCCCGACTTGGTTTTAACTCGCCCGTAAATCCAGTTTGGAGAAAACTTATGCACCGTAGGTTTCATCAAGTAATTCATCGATAGTAGGGATCGAAAATCTATCTTTGATGGTTACTGCATTTAGAGCTCGTAATCAACACGAGAAAACATCATGATCTATCCTTGCTTCGACCAATAGGACTTGTGAGGAGAAGAGGCTAGTGCTTAGGTGAATTATTCCCTCGGTTAGCATCTCCTCCACAAGCTTTTCAATCTCCGACTTTTGAAAATTAGGATACCAATATAGTTTGACATTGACTAGAGATGTTCCAAGTGAAAGGGGGATT